CTGTTCAAAAAATTCAGAGTCGTTCAAATAATTTTTCGATTTCCAGAAATTTTTCAATTTACTTTATAATGGAAATTTAGATTGCGCACAAATCATGACACTTGTTGTGGATTATTCAGTTAAATTTTTGCAGCTTAATGCTCAGCTATCGTCAAAGCTCACATTATCTTTGACAGACATGTCAACTACACATTTTTCATGTTTCCGGTGGCGATATTTATGGAGAGCAATATCCAAGGCTCACAAGGGACTCAAATGGCTTTCTCTCATTTTCAAAATACAACTGCAGCATGTTTTACGGATCATTTAAACTGAATGGTAAGTCCTTCACCATGATTCCGGAGGAATTCGCTTAAAAATCACTAACGCATCTTTTACAGTAAAGGAAAAACGGAAAAATATTTATCTTTGCCCCCAATTTCGCTTCATTCATTTGAGTTATTCTTCCTATTAAAATCAACCATTATGTAAATTGTCTGTGGCAAATAATTTTTCCCGGATGCATTGTTAAATGTCTGCTTATTACTGATTGGGAACAAATGGAAAACAGTAACCCGTTTGAAATGTAGTGATGGATCCTATATCGCGCTCCAGATCCTCTAACCTGCACCAATAATCATGATCTGTATTTGTTTCGAAGCCTCTATTGATTTAAATATAATTGCATTTACTTAAGTCGTCTATAACCTCTCGAAAAAAATATTTTAAAACCTGGAGGAAGTACGCCTTCAACGCTTCCTTTGAAAATAAACTTTTCTCACCAATTTTGTCTGCGATGAGTTAGTTTGCTAAGTGAAAGCACTTACCACCTTTCGAAAAATACAGATTAGTAAAAAGTACCGTTTCAAGGCAGAGAGGAAAACAAGCACAACTTCTTAAGTTGTGGATAATTACCGAAAAGCGTTTCTATCTATTTGCCACCTCTGATATACTATGCACTGGCGGAATCTGATGGTAACAAACGATAGAATGCTTTTCACAAAAATTGGAATGCTATAAGCACTCAGTTTTCCCCATAATCATTGCAAAGGTATTTACATATAGTTTAGTTACACTTTGATGCACTTCTAACAGTTATTTGCAAGCAGTAAACACATAAATATAAAAATCATTTCAACTTTAATCGCCACGAAAAACAAGAACAATACCAAGATCTTTAATATAATTCATGAAAATTTTTGAAGTACTCCTGGAAAATCGAATCTGAAAATGTTGGATTTTCACTGCCGAAGTAGTACCCTATCAATATTTCAATTCCTGCCCCATGGTCGCATTTGAATGCTAATCTTAAATATGCCAAAAATTCTCATTTTGGTATGCGCACAAATAGAACTGACCAAATAAATATTTTTGCGGTTTTTTTCTAGAAATTCATGATTAAAGTTACAATTTTTTCCGAAATTTCAGCTAATGTAAAGTAGGAGGTGGAATGTTTAATACGCTCAAAATTATACTCCTTCCTTTAATCCAACGCCAGTAGTGTTGTCACCTGTGATAATGTAACTAAATCACAATATCCTATATTTTCAGACTGGGGTGTGCGATAGTCTTACCTCCACGTGGTGCACCCTGGGCAGCGTATACTCATACGGCAAAAAAGTCTACAAACCGGGAATTGACTTCTGACTTCAAACTACCGTCACCCCACAGTATGTCATATTGGACTACTTTCACAGTACTCACCTCACCTTTTTTCTACCTT